CCTGGCAGAATGACTTGCTCCTATATATAGAATATTTAGAACGCTCTTAAGACTGTCACTTCTGGGAAGAGATCTTGAAGATCTCCCCTGCGACACCTGAAAGTTCTGCCGAGGGCAGGACAAACAGCTTTCAAAGTGCACAGTCTCATTGTAGAACACTACTGTAAATCCACAGGCTTCCAGCATGACAAGGGAGAGGGCCCGAGTGATGGCGGTGCCACAGGCTGCCCGCCCTGTGGCACCGCAGGCTATGGAGGGGCCCTGAGATCAGGCCATGGATACCCACAGCGAGCAACTGGAAATGAGGCCCCCATAGAAAGCCCAGACCTTCACAAGTCAGCGTGTCTCTGTCCTAAAACAATGCTATGTAAACTTATTTTTAAAATGTCAACTAGTATTGCGTATTGATGGGGGACGCCCTTCTGTATACATGTTTCTCTTATTGGTTGATGAATAAAACACCGTTTGGCCAGTAGTCGAGCAGGAAGATAGGCTGGGCTACCAGACCAGGAGGAGGCTGGGGAGAGGAAGGCAGAGGGAGCCTGGAGAGAGACGCCATGCTGCCCAAGGAGTAACATGCCAGATTATAGGTAAGTCACAGCCTCGTGGCAATACATAGATTAATAGAAACAGGTTAATACTTAAGGCAGAGTTAGCCAGTAAAAAGCCCTCACCATAAACCAACGGTTTATAAATTAACGTAAGTCTTTGTGTGTTTATTTGGGGCTAAGTGGCTGTGGGACCAGGCCGGACAGAAACCTCCATCTTTAGCATATTTTTTTCAGATACAGAACATAATAATGCCTTTAGGGAAGAAACATGTGCAACAGAGGAAGGATATAGCTATGACACAATGTCTCATTTCCTAAAGCAGACCCAACTAGGTTTTTAATACTATGTTTGGTATTTGTGAAAAAGCTTTTAATGAAAAGCTGTAAGGAGAAAGAATGAGTCTACAAACAGCATATATAGTATGTGCATACAACTTATGAAGGATGTGGTCAGAAATGTAGAATGAAGCAAATTACAGAAGGGTTAATACAGTGAAATACTCCATATGATGTAGAACACGTAGAGAGTTACTGTAGGGGTTAGTTTTTTAAAATCAGGTGGATACGAGCTAGAGTTGTCCCAGCAAAGGAAACCCCTATCAGATTGCCCGTAGGCAAGTGAGTGGGCATTTGCTTGGTTAATGGTTGATGTGGGTGGGCCTATCCCATGTGGGTGGTCCTGATGTATATAAGGAAGAAAAATAAGGCGAATAGGCAGCACCCCCGCATGGCCCCTGCCTTGGGTCCTGCCCTGATTTCCTTCAATGATGGTCTATAAGCAGTGAGATGAAATAAACCTTCCCTCAGAAAGTTAACCATGACTACGGCTTCATCAAGCAATAGAAAGCAACCAAGACAGCTACTATTGACTCTTGAAGTAGATGCGCATAATCCAATTATGAAGACATACACGACTGCTAAGCACCAGGGCAATGCAACGGTTGTGTTGGAGGGGACGGCACTTGGGAGGGGACGGCACTTGGAGGGGGACATTGAGTCAATCTCACATTGCGGGCAGAACATTGACTCTTAGGCTAGGTGGTGCCACATGCATAATGGGTATGCTACTCTTCATTAACTTTTTAAACAACTTCGTTTATTTTTGGGGGATTATAATATAATTACGTCACCTCTCTATTCTTCCTTCCTTCCTCCAAGCCCTCACATATTCTCTTATTTTTCTCATTTAAATCTATGGCCTCCTTTCCCATTAATTGTTGTTATTTGCACATATAATATAGATACATATATATTCCTAAGTATAACCTGCTTGGTCTGTGTAATGTTACTTGTATGCATGATTTCAGGGCCAACCATTTTGTATAGTTGGGTAACCAACTAGTGTAATCTTCCTGGCGGGAGACTGTTTTTCCTACTCGGAGCATTCTTTGGTTGTCTATTGTTCTTTGTGTAGGTTTGGAGCCATGAGGGTTTTCGCCTGTCCACTTCAGCATGTCTATTGTTTTCCTCCTTGCTTAGTTCATGTTTAGGCAGTCATGTTGGTGAGACTTTACAGGTGTAGCTCCGGACATTCCTAGGAGACACAGTCTCACAGCAAACTCCCTGATCTTCTGGCTCCTACACTCTTTCAGCTCCTTCTATAATGTTCCCTGGACCTTAGGTGCAAGAGCTCTTTTCCAGATGTATCTTTTGGGACTGGGCTCTACAGCACTGCAATTTGTTGGCTGTGGTTTTCTGTAATGGCCTCTGTCTGTTGCAAAGGGACGTTTCCTTGATGAGGAATATCTTAGTCACTTTTTGCTGTGACAAAATATCGTGAATAAGGATTAGAGTTGATGACCGTCAGAGTAGAAAGACATGGCACTGAGGTGATAGCTGAGAGTCACATCTAGTCCACAGGCATGAGACAGGGAGAGAGACCTAACTGGGAGTGGCATGGGCTGCTGAAATCTCAAAGTCGATATCCACTATAGCTAATCCTTCCCCAACAGTGCTACAAACCGGGGACCAAGTGAGCATTCAGATATATGGGCCTATGGGGCCATCTGTTCTCACTCAAATCATCACAGGCTTCAATCATAACTGTACTTATCTGTGGGTATAGAGTGACACATATTTAAAAATGGAGTTAAGGATTATCTTGGTTTGGTAAAGTGGTGGCTGTAGGTTCTCCCGCAAGATCAGTGCATTTTCCAGCCATGGATAACTGGCCAGGTTTCCAGCACCTGCACGGTATCCCTTTTGTTGAATGAGTCTTAAGTCCAATTACAGAGTTGTTGGTTGCCACCAAAGTATACGTGCCACTACAGCACGCTTAGCGCGGCCCCTCTATGCTGGTGGTTGTTGTGATTCACAGGCATCATAGCTAGGCAGGACTGTTGGTGGCTTCTTCCTTTGGAAGCTTACATGACATCCTCCGGTACTCTGAAAATTAGACCCCAGGGAGGGGACATTCAGGTCAGTGCCAGCTCAGGGACCTCTGGGCCTGTGTATGGCATACATGGCGTCTTTAGCATTATGTACTTATTTTCCACCTATGGGGGAAAATCCAGGGCAATGGCAATAGTCTGTAGTATCTTGGGAAGTCTCTTGGACAACAGTGACAAAGAACTCAAAAGAGGGTTTCTCACGTCTTGTGATTGGATGGTCTTTAGCTCTTGGAAGGGGCATTATCAGGCAAGATAAGTGTGGTGGTTTTGAAAGAAAATGGCCCCGTAAAGGGAGTGGCACTATTAGTAGGTGTGGCCTTGTTGGAGGAATCGTGTCACAACGGAGGCTCGTTTTGAGGTCTCATATGTGCTCAAGTCACATACGGTCTCTCAGACCTCTTCTTGTCTGCAAGTCAAGATGTGGAACTCTCGGCTGCTTCTCCAGCACCGTGTCTTCCTGCATCCTACCACGTGATGATAAGGAGTGAACCTCTTCAATGTAAGCCAGCCACCACAATCAAATGTTTTCCTTTATAAGAGTGGCTGTGGTCATGGTGTCTCTTCACAGCAACAGAAACCCTGACTAAGACAAGAAGAAAGTTTTATATATATATATATATATATATATATATATATATATATATAGGGTTTCCCCCCCTTAGGTAGATGGTTAATAGTATGATTTCTTACAACTTTTTCAGACATCTTTATTTTACTCTCCTCCCTCTAACTTTTCTACATGACTCTCTCCCTCTCCCTAATTAGAGCCCCCCCCATTTTTACACAATCACTTTTGTCCTGCAATTCCTCTCTCTATTACCACCCCCAGCCCGTACTCTGGCAATGCCCCTTTTTGTTTCCATGGTTTCTGCATTTATCCCTGTTTTTGTACTCATATCCAAAGATCTAGAGCTAGGGGCCTCAGATGACAGCAAACATGGAATACTTGTTTTTCTGGGTCTGGGTTACTTCCCTCATAATCTTTTCTGGTTCCATCCATTGACCTGCAAAGTTCATGGCTCTTTACACATGAATATTATTCCAGAGTATACATGAGATGCACTTTCATCATCCATTAGTCAATTCAAGGGTATTTAGGTTGCTTCCATTTCCTAGCTGTTGTGAACAGAGCAACAGTGAACATGGCTGATTAAGTATCTGTAGTGTAAGATGTTGAATCCTTTGGGCATATGCCAAAGAATGACCGGGTTATACAGAGGATTTCTTTGTAGCTTTTTGAGAATGGTCCACACTGGTTTCCATAGTGACTTGACCAGTTTGCAGTCCTAATAACAGTGAATAACTGTTTCCTGTCTCCCACACTGTTTCCAGAATTTGCTGTTGGCTGTTTTGTTGACCTTTGCCGTGGTGACTGGGTAAGATGAAATCTCAAAGTTTTGATTTGCTTTTTGCTAATTGCTAGGGATGATGAACTTTTTCTTTCTTTCTTTCTTTTTGTTTGCTTTTTAAGACAGAGTTTCTCTGTCTCAAAGCTTTTGGAGCCTTTTCTGGAACTCGATCTGTAGATCTGTAGAACTAGGCTGTTCTCGAACTCACAGAGATGTGCCTGCCACTATCTCCCAAGTGCTGGGGTTAAAAGCATTCACCACCACCACCCAGTAATGATGAACATTTAAAAAAATATTTCTCAGCCATTTTTAAAAAATCTTCTGAGACATCCCAGACCTATTTTTGAGTGGAAATTTTTTTTCTCAAGCTCTTTATTTATTCTGGATATTAATCCTCTACCAGGTGTTGTACTGGCTAGTTCTATGTTAACTTGTTGCAAGCTGGAGTCATCAGAGAGGAGGAAACCCCAAATGAGAGAATACTTCCATAAGATCTGGCTGTAGGCAAGCCTGTAGGGCATTTACTTAATCAGTGATTGATGGGGGAGGTACAAGTCCATTGTGGGTGGAGCTTATCTCTAGGCTAGTGGTCCCGGGTTCTCTAAGAAAGCAGGCTGAGCAAGCTGTGAAGAACACACCAGTGAGCAGCTCCCTCCACGGCCTCTGCATCAGCTCCTGACTCCAGGATCCTGTTCTGTTTGACTTCCTGTCCTGGCTTCCTTCAGTGATGAACAGCAATGCTGAAGTGTAAGCCTAATAAACCCTTTCCTCCCCCACAGTGTTTCATCACAGCAGTAGAAGCCCCAACTGTGATGAGTCGGCACCAGGATTGTGTGGTATTGCTGTGACAGACCTGACCAGGTTGTTTTGGGGAGGTCTGTGGAAGGACTTGGGAACCTGGGCCTAGAAAAGTCATTATTGAGTGTTCAATGTTGGGTGAGCTGTTCTGTAGGAGCTTGGAATACAGACAATGGAGGCCTGGCTCGTGAAGTCTCAGAGGGAAGTTTAAAGACTGTTGGTCCGTTTGTTGTTGTGAATTAAGATTCTGTCACTCTGGTTAGCCAGGACTGAAGAATCGGCTGTGATTAACATGATGTCAGGACTATTAAAGGGAAACCTTTGCTTTGCTGGGACACTTGATGCTGGTCGGTTGGAGCTGAGAAATTAAGAGGCCAGCATTGTTGAGGTGAAATTTTCTGTGAAGCATTTCCTGAGAGTCAACACACAGAAGCTGTGTTCCGGTGGCCAAGATTGTACCTCGTGCTGGCAGCCAAACTTGGTAACGTGAGAGTCACCCATGTGGTGCTGATTTTGAAATCCTGAAGGGGTCATGGAGAGCAGCTGAGGCTAGGTGCTGTGAGAGGTCGGGAGAGGCCCTTGGTGAAGGTGCAGGCTCCGAGGCAGCTGAAGACCCAGGACTGAAGGGGTCACGCAGAGAAGCTGAGGCACCATGAGGAGAGCCTAGCCTGTGGGAACCTATTGGTGATAGTGCAGCCCTCCCCGCCGAGCACTTTGGAGGTGCCGGTACCATGGGATGACCACCAAGAACAACAGCAGCCTTGGAATGGAGTCAACTGGAGCTTAAAGGGAAGCTGTCCGCGCTGCAGAGGGGGGAGCCAGAGAAGTGACCCATGCCCTTTGGAGGAGCCCAGGAGACGGTGAGTGTGTCCCAGACATGGGACACTGAGCTATTTACGCTGTTGGAGTTTGGCTTTGCTTTGTTCAGATTGTGACTGTGCCCTGGCTCTTCCCTACTGAAGTGAGAAGGCATCTAACTTTGGTTTTTAAAGGAGCCCACAGCTGAAATACTTTGTGTTTTTAAGAGAGATTCTGGATATTTTAAAAGAGATTGCGTATTTTAAAGAGACCGAAAATTTAATGAGTTGGACTTACAAGGACTATGGGGCTTTTAAATTTATTGTTGTTTCATATCATGATGTTAATATTAGGTGCCATCTGGGGGTTCTAATTAAAGTGAAGTGTCAGTGTGTCACCCTGACAAGGAATCAGTTGTGTTAGCTAGTTTTATGTCAACTTGACACAAGCTAAAGGTATCAGAGAGGAGGGAGCCTCGATTGAAAAAAACATGCTTCCACAAGATCTGGATATAGGCAAGCCTGTAGGGCATTTTCTTAATTAGTGATTGATGGGCAAGGACCTAGCCTATTGTGGGTGGCTACACCTCTGGGCTGGTGGGCCTGGGTTCTATAAAAAAGCAGACTGGGCAGGCCATGATGAACAAGCCGGTAGCAGCAATCTTCCAAGGCCTCCAGGTTCCTGCCCTGCTTGAGTTCCTGCCCTGACTTTCTTTGATGATGCACAGTGATGAGGAAGCATAACTCACATACACCCCTTCCTCCCTGGGTTGCTTTGGTCATGGTGTTTTATCACAGCAAGAGTATCCCTACCTAGACAGAACTACAGCTGGCAAAGATTCTCTCCTACTTTGTGGGCTTCCTCTTTTCTCAGTTGATTGTTTCTTTTGTTCTGTAGAAGACTTCAGTTTTGAGAAGTCCTACTAGTCAATCGCTGGCCTTAAGTTTTGGACAAATGGACTCCTATTTGTTGGTTTCCCTACACTAACATCACATAGGGCGCTGTCTGTTTTCTTCCAGAAGGTTCATTATTTCGGGGTCTACGTTTAGGTCTTTGATCCATTTGGGTTTGTGCAAGGTGACAGACACAGGGTCAAATTTCATTCTTCTGTGTGGGAATCCCGGCTTTCCCAGTAACATTTGTTGAAGATGCTTTCTTTTTTACAGTTTATGTTTTTGGTTCCATAAAAAGAAGGAAGTTGCAAGTAGTCATGTTTGGGTCTTCAGTTTTGTTCCACTGGTCTACATGTCTGTTTTTGGGGCCAGTGCCATATTGTGTTTATTACTATGGCTTTGTCATATATCCTAAGATCTGGAGTAGTAATCCCTCCATCATTGCTCTCACCATCCCTTTTATTGAAAATAGACTTTTCCCCCCTCACATAATGCATTATGATTACACTTTCCCTTCCCCTTCCTCCTCCCAACCTCTCTCCCATCCACGCCCACCTCATTTTCATCTCTCATTAGAAAACAAACAGGCTCCTACGGGGTAATGATAAATAAAATACAATAATGTAAAACAAAACTAATGCATCAGAATAGGGTGAAACAAACACGAGGAAAGAGTTCAAGAGAAGGCACAAGAGACAGAGACCTCATTGTTCACACACTCAGGGACCCCATAGAAACACTAAGCCATAATCTATACGCCAAGGGCTTGTAGGGTAATGAGAGAGAAAAATATTTAAATAAAACAAAAGCAAAAAGTAAGATGAAATTTAAAAGAAAAGCCCTGGCATTTTATGAGACAGGAAACCCCCACAGATGCCGTTGAATTTGTTTTCTGTTGGTCACCTCCTGCTGGGCATGCAGCCTACACTTTAGAGTAGTTGGTTTTCCCAGTGAGACTCCCATGGAGAAAATTGGCTTCATTTTCCCGCACTGTTCTTTTTGTGCTCGGGATTGCTTTTGTTATTGGGGGTCTTTTATGCTTCCATATGAACTTTAGAATATGCTACTCTGCTTCTGTGAAGAATGAGATGGTGGATTGCATCACATCTGTAAATAACCTTTGGTAAAAAGGTCGTTTTCACAATGTTAATTCTACCAGTGCAGCAGCATGGGGTTCCTTCCCATTTTATAGTTTTTCCTCTGTCTTTCAACAGTTAAAATTTTTCATTTCAGAGATCTTTTATTTCCTTGGTTAGGTTTACTCCTAGATATTTTATTTTCTTTGAGGCCATTGCGAATGGGAGAGTGCCCGTGATTCCCTTCTCTGTATGATTGATGGTGGTGACTAGATAACTTCATTTGCACAAGTCCATTCTGAACCCTGCCACACTGCTCTATTTTTGTTGTTGTCAACTCTAAAGTTTTCTGAGAGAATTTTTGAGATCTCTAATATCATATCATCAGCAAATAGGGACGGTTTGGCGTTTCTTTCCCTAGTTGTGTTCTCTAATTTCCTTCTCTTTCCTTATTGTTTTTGTTTATCAATTTAAAAAAAAGAGATGGATTAACTAGAAATAATCTTTGAAAGTCTGGTAGACACAGAATACCAGACATTCAAAGATGATTTGCAGTCAATCCTTCTTGAACTGTTTTTTTGTTTGTTTTTTTGTTTGTTTGTTTGTTTTTGCTTTGCTTTGCTTTTTGTTTTTTAAGGAAAATGCTGGGATGCTTTTTATTACATTTAAACCTTCTTATTTGGAATGCATTGGTTTAGGTCGTTGGCTTCTTCTAGGTTTAATTTTGGTGTTTTGGCTGACTCTGGGTTTTCCAGCTTACCTGAGTACAGGTTTTTAAAATATTCCATCACAATAGTGGGGATTTCTTTGGTGTCTATTGTGCGGCTTCGTTTCTAATTCTGTTAATTTTGGGTCCTTTCTCAGTCAGCTAGGCCACGGGTCTGAAGTCCTGCCTGCCTTCTTGAAGAGGCAACTCTTAGTTTCATTGTTGCTTTGTTTCTGTTCATTGATCTCTGTTCTGGTTTTTATTACCTCTTACTGTTGACTGCATTCGGATATGGTTTGGTCTTGTTTTTCAGATTTTTGAGTTGTATCTTAAGACATTTAATTGCTTTTTTTTCTCTAATTTTTAATGCAGGCACTTAGACACACCAATGAACCATATAATATGTGCTTAGGTCAACTGTTCCTTTGATTAGAATGAAGTGTTTCTTTTTAATCTCATCTGATTAGTTTTAGTTTGAAGTCTGTTTTGATGGGTATTAGAAGAGTGTCTGCTTGCTTCCTGGTCATTTGATTGGAGTATTTTTGCCCATCCTTGTACTATAAGCCAGTGCCTTTCTTTAAAACTACGATGTGTTTTGGGGCTGGAGAGATGGTTCAGCAATTCCCAGCAACCACATGGTGGCTCACAACCATTTGTAATGAGATCTGGTGCCCTCTTCTGACAATGAGACAGAACACTGCATACATAGTAAGTAAGTAAGTAAGTAAATAAATACTAAAAAAAAAAAAAATTAAAAACCTAAGATGTGTTTCTTACAGACAACAAACAATGAGTTTTGTTTCCTGTCCCATTCAGACAGCCCAAGTCTTTTGATTGGAGAATTGAGGCCATTGATACTTGAAGTTATCATTGAAATGTGTCTGCTCACCATAGTTATCAAGTTATTGATTTTCTGTTCTTTGTGTTCTCGGTGGTATTTTCAGTGTTAATAACTATGGCTGCATATTTCTCTCCACGGTCTTCAGGCCTGATCTTTCCTCTCTTCCACTGGAAATATTGCCGTCTGCATTTCCTTTAGGTTTGCTTTGCTGGGTACAAGCTTTTGTAGGGTTATTTATATCATGGAAACGTTGTATTTCTTACTCACTTATGGCAAATAGTTTTGCTGTGCATGTAAGTCTAGGCTGGCCGCCATAGTCCTTTAGTACTTGGAATGCATTGTTCCAGGTTCTCCTGACTTTGGGTACTCCCACTGAGAAACAGGTTATCCTGAGGGATTCTCCTTCCTATGTGACTTGCATTTTTCTTTTACGGTTCTCAGTGCACTCTGACTGCTTTGTATGCTTAATGCTTTAACTATGATATGCCATGGTGATTTTCTTTTCTGGTTTGTCTACTTGGTGTTCTGTGTGCTTCTTGTATCTGTAAGGGTGTATCTTTCTTTAAATTGGGGAAGTTTGCTTCGATGATCTTACTGAAGATCTGATCTATTCCATTGACTCGTGGACAGAGCAGATTGGGATAGAAGCAAGAATGTGCTGGTCATTTGGGTCTAGAAGTTGGAAATGGCTTGAATACAATGGAGTCGGAGGGGATTGTGTTGGTGTATAGGATGTGCCTCCTAGTCCAGTCCTAGAGTCTGGAGCTAGATTTTCCTCAGTAGAGGCTGGATGTGGTGTGGGAAGGGCCTGTGGTTTGTAGGGCAGGTAGGGTAGGTCTGACAGAAACTTAAAGTTTGGTTTTATGCAGGGAGGTGTGGCTAGGCTTGGCCAGGGTGCTGACTGTGGCACCTAGCCTAGAGCTGTTGTGCTGGGTGGGTGGGTCAGGGGAGTCCCTGACTAGACCCTGGAGAAGGATGTGGGAGACCTGGCTATGCAGACAGGTTGGGTGCCTTGAAGAAGGGCCTGTGGGTACTAGCAGTTAACCAAACCATGGGCAATGGGTGTGGGACACAGACTAGACATGGTAGGCTGGGGAGAAGGCATAGACGGGGGCAGGGTCAGAAAGACTCACTGGGTTAGAGCCCCGGGCAAGAAGTGGGAGATCTGACTGTGTGCAGAGGCTGGGTTTCTTTATTCACTTCAGCAATATTTCTGTATCATGAACTTTAAAACATTTAAATGAGCATCTTAGTGTGACAATGTGAACAGCGCTTGACGCTTTGAGCTAGAGCTGGTTGTCTGCTGTCAAGTCAACAATATGAAGTGATTTGAAAAGTCAGTATTCCCTTCTTTCTAATAGAAGTCAGGCAAATTAAAAGCACATGCTAGTTGGATGGTGGTGGCACACGCCTTTAATCCCAGCACTCGGGAGGCAGAGGCAGGCGGATCTCTGTGAGTTCGAGACTGGGCTGGACCGACAGCCTTGAAAACAATACAGAGAAACCCTGTCTCGTAAAAACCAAAACAAACAAACAAAAAAAAACCCCAAAAAAACAAAAAGCACATGCTAATGTTACGTGTTATTTAGGTCTAGAGGGCGACCTCATACCTAAAGTGTTACCCCCCCACCCCAATGCAACAGAGCAACATTTCATTTTATAAATAATTTTTAAAGGGAACTTATTGTCTCCTAGGCCTTTTTTTTTGTGCACTGAGAACACAAGGTTAATCAAAACAGACTGAACTACACTCTAGCATATCAGATTTAAACAATATCAAGAAATTCTACATTTCACAGGGAAATTTGCTGATGCTCTTCTCTTCTGTGGCTGTTGGTGGAGCTGAAGGGGTACTGGTGGAGGATGCCGGAATGCTTGCTGGGACTCTTTCCCAAAAATGCTGTATGTCCTCAAGTGAGCTTAGAATCCCTGAACCCCTGCTGTGCCTGCATCTGATAGAGTATGCCTTTCTCCCCAGCTTGCTCACTGCCTGGATAGACTTACCAGGGGAAGGAAGATTGGGTTGTAACTAAACCGAATATTTAATAGCACCCTCATTCCCGGGTGGGCCTGATGGGACATTCTCGATAGACACACAGAGAGCAGCTAACAACCAGCTGCTGCCTGGGGAGCGGCCACCTGTCACTTCACTCCTACGTGTCGAGAACTGCTTCACTGCACGTTATCCTGTTTGTTGGGCCTAAAAAGGCCTGGACACAAGGCCCGGTGGAGCTTCCTGAGCCTGGCTAGAGCTTGGCGACCTGTCTTTGGCCTATCACTTCCTGAGCCTGGCTAGAGCTTGGCGACCTGTCTTTGGCCTATCACTTCCTGAGCCTGGCTAGAGCTTGGCGACCTGTCTTTGGCCTATCACTTCCTGAGCCTGGCTAGAGCTTGGCGACCTGTCTTTGGCCTATCACTTCCATGTAAGACTGACTCAGCAAAACTGACTCTGCCAGCTCCTGCTAACGTGGTGAAATATTATTGGCCCTTACACTTCACCCCATCCTGAGGTCCCCATCCACTTCCTCAACCCTGTCTAAGTACCTGCCTGATGCAATAAAGAGAGATCCTGCGTCTACAAGTCTCCCCACTCAGTGTGGTTCTCTCAGGAAATTAGGAGGGGTGGTCTAGATCGTCAATACTCTCCATCCCACTCAGCCCCAGGAAGAGACCACTGGACCAGCTCCCCCTGCTCTCCCACAGCCCTACCTGCCAGAAGACCCAGCACTTGTTGAACAATTACAACCTTCCCTTTCAAAGAAGGGAGGAAGTAGAACCATGGTTTCTTAAGTACATCTGTAGAGTGCAGCCTGCCCCGCCATCTGCCTGGGCTCTGCCACAATTGCAGTCCCCAAATAATACACAAGACACTGTATTAATTATGAAGCTGTGGGCCGTTTGCTTGTTTCTTACTGGCTATCTCTGACTTAAGTATTTAATCCATAATTGTTAATCTAAGTATTTCTCTTATCAGAGAAAGGGTCCGGACCTTTTACTCCTCTGGAGGCTACATTGTGACTCCCTGTGTTTCTCTTTCCCAAAATCCTCCTCAACTCCTAGTCCCACCTATCTTGCTTTCCTATTGGCCAACAGTACTTTATTGACATAGGCACAGGACTTCCCCATCATATCTCTATTCAACTATTATAAATAGTTCAACCAACAATGTTTACAACACTAGTCAATTCGTTAAGTTCAAAATCTGTGGGTTAGGAATTTGACTGGGGCTCTTCTTAGCAACTCTTGTGCCTCATGGAACCCTAATTTCTCAGTTCATGAGCACAATGTTCAAGTAGTAGTCAGCCAGTGGTTGTTCAGGTTGTCTGGTGTCTTAGTTGGGTCCCTTCCCTTTCCTGAGATTTCAGGGCTTCTCTACAAATGTGACCAAAGAATAACTGATCATTTTTCATGGTGGCTTAGTATTCCAATACAGTGACTTTCCCATGGTAGAAAATGGAAGGGACTAACTACTCTCTGAAGTCCTTGAGCCAAGTAATGGCACACAGTCACTCACATAGTAGTCTATCAGTTTCGACACTCAGAGAACCACCCAGATTCAAAGGGAGTGGGCCTGGCTCCTCAGACGCACACATGGAAGGAAGAACAATGAGTCTGGGATAGTTTCCTTGGCCCTACCATGTGTGATGAGGTGAATAAGAGTTCCTGACACTCTGGGTCAGACATGAGCTATTATATCATAACATTGTTGCAACAGAACTCAGGAAGAGCATATCCTGTGACTTCCTAGAACCAGCAAATAAATGCCTTTTACCACCCCCACCTCATAGGGCTCTGGTAACAGACCAAAGGAAGAAATGCACCCGAGTCTGCTGTGGTGAATCAACGGGTTTACCAAATACTTTGAAGAAAGTGGGTAGGGGCTTACACACTGGAGCATAGGAGACTGAAAAGCCTAACCCAGCATAGCTGATGACTCACAAAGGCTGCACTCCGGGAGCTTCCATCCTGCCCAACTTACAGAAAGCTGCACCGCAGAATCTCCTTTTGCTGTTCCCTGAGATTGTTTGCTGCTCGCATGACCTTGGGGAAGGTCCTTGCAAGTGTGGAAACTTTCTTCGGCTTCCTTATGTGTTTCCCTCACCACTCCAGGAGGTAATGCATCAATTCAGAAGAAATAGCTACACAACAGGACCTGACGGAAAGTGCCTATAATAGAAAGTGTCTCTTGGGGTGACTTGAATCAGGAAATCCAGACACAGTAATAGCTGCGACTCTAACCTCGGCTGTTTCAAGATAGGGACTCGAGCCGGGATGACATTCCTTCATGCACTGACCTCATTCCAGACAGTAAACGTCTGCCGAGTACCTGCTCTGTGCTGGTTGTAATCATACACAGGGCATAAGACACCAGGTGTGACTGGGGGCACAGGTCTATAATTGAAAATATTCAGGAGACTAAGGCAGGAGAATCTCAAGCTCACGGCCTACTTAGGCACAGAATACATTCAAGGACAGACTCAAACTCTATTACAGTGTAAGCTGAAGTTAAATGCTTGCTTTTACAAGTTGCCTTGGTTGTGGCGTCTACTACAGCAATAGAAAAGTGGCCAAGACACCCACTATCACAGAGTTTTCATTTTAAAATGTAAAAGCACGTTTTGGGTTTATTTACTGTGTGTGTATGACTATTGTACCTGCATGATGTATGTGTACCACGGACATGCCTGATGCCCATGGAGGACAGACGGAAACACAGGATCCCTGGAGCTGGGGTTACAGGTGATGCAGATGCTCTGTAAGAAAAGTGACTTCTGGGTATTGTGAGGGGAGGGGATGGGAGGGAGGAAGGCAGGAGATGGGGAGGGGGGCAGTTCTGTGGAGAGAAGGCTGGGCGTCACTGGGGCTAGGTTAGGCAGATTGAAGAGGCAAGTTAGGAAGCAGCCGAACAGGGCTTAGTGGGCATTGCAAGGGCTATAGGAGAGGGAGGGGGCCTTAACAGGGAGACCTAGGTCTCTGGTACCTGGGATCCGGTGTCATATCAGCCTTTGTCACACCCGGGTTGAGACTGGAAGCTTAGATTGTGACTTCCGTCTCAGTGCGATATATCTGAAATTGAGGCTGCTCTACCCCCATGAGACTTCTGGAAATGCCACCAACAGTGAGCCCAGATATGTTCAACAATGCTAAATGTATTTTCAAAGTGTCTCTCAATTCTCTAAAGGAAAGAAAGATGTGATTTGCCCCTCACCCTTTGCCTGCCATCTATCTAGGAGCCAGTCGCCGGCGTTTTACCACAGTGTGTCTTTGAAAAGGAGCTGAGCTGATCATGAGAAGGAAGTTAAGAGAGTCCACACTCTGGGAACGACCTCTAGTTCTCCACTGGCCACAGAAAGAGTCCTGATCTCTCCCGCCCCTGCTCCAGGTGTAGCCGCCCTTGATTCCTGGTCTCCCATGAAGGGGCAGCGAGTGGTCACTGCCCCAGCTTTGCTTCACGGCGACTGACCCCAGTTGTGGCCTGAAAAGCTGGCCCAGCAAACTGCTAAGAAAACTACTGTTTGGATTCTGGTTTACCGTTGTCGTTTGTGTGGAAGCGCAGTGTAGGCACTGTGGGAAATCTGCTTTGGGGCGGGCAAGACAGCTCAGGGGTTAAAGCACTTGCTGGCAAGGATGATGACTTGAGTTCAAATCCCCAGGACCCACATTATGGAAGGGAAAGTGGACTCCCTGTAAGCTTTCCTCTGACCTCCTCCATACCCTGTGTGTGCACACTCACACACACCCAACATGTACATACACACACATAAATAAATAAATGCAATATTAAAAATTTTAAGGATATTTTCCCATTGTTGGAAATGACTGATACCTTGGTGATGGGGGAAGTCCTGTATATATGTCAATAAAGCACTATTGGCCAATAGGGAAGCAAGATAGGTGGGACTAGGAGCCCAGGAGGATTCTGGGTAGGAGAAACACATCGAGTCACGATGTATCCTGCCAGAGAAGTAAGATGTCCATAACTTTTCTCCGGTAAGAGAAATACTTAGATTAACAATTATGGGATAAATACTTAAGTCAGAGCTAGCCAGTAAGAAACAAGCAAGGCCAACAGCTTCATAATTAATACAGCATCTTGTGTGTTATTTGGGGACTACAACGTGGCAGAGCCCAGGCGACTGGTGGGGAAAAACCAAAGCGGCTGGCAAGGAAAAGTCTTCTCTCTACACCTTGGTAACCTAGAAATGGAGAATAATTAATATTTCACTTCTGGTGCTTGAATCCTGGATTTTCTCCCTACACTTGGTAGGAGGCCAGACTTAGTTCCCTGTATCCATCTCAAATGCTCCAGTGCAGTTGTACTTGGCTAGGGAATTATCCAGCCAGTTTGCCTCAGTCTACTCCAGAAATGCTTGCTGGTGAGTGTCAAGGGCTCGATTCTGTTCAAATCAAGGCCAAGTATGCCGAACCCTCTTAAACACTGTGGTCTGTCCTGCCATGATTTTACATTCAGACTTGATCATGCCATTTGGGGGTCCATCCCCTTCTTCTCACAGAACCACTTTTGGGGACATGGTGGACGGCACAGAAGATGCCATTTTCTCTTATAAATGTACGTTATTAGGCCATGCTCTTACTTCCGCCAAGACCCTCTGACAGCAAGGCCTGCACTAATTGTTGCAACATACCAATAACACATTCTTTATAACCGTGTTACATATGGAAGGCCAAAATCTATGTGAAGATGCATTTCTAACCACCCTTATTTGAGCTCCTATCCTGCCCTGTCACCCTCCCCTTCCCACCCAAGGTCCTCTGACTATTCACCCTTCAATCCCTAGGAATTGGGACAGGCACGGCGCTTGCTGTAAGGGATTCAAGCTACAGGGGATCATTGACCATGGTTATTTTTTCTTCATGTGAGTGGAATAAAACAAGGTCTTACCTTCCTGAAAGAACTCATAGGACTCTGGATGTAGTCAATTCTAGCCTGGTAAATAAACCAAAAATTTAAGTTTGGACTTAAAAAAAAAATTAATTAGAAACAAGCTTGTTTTACATGTCAATCCCAGTTCCCTCTCCCTCCCCTCCTCCCCTCCCCCCCACCAGTCCCCTATGCCATCTCCTTTCTGCTCCCCATAGAGGATGAGGCCCTCCATGGGGGAATCTTCAAAGTCTGTCATATCATTTGGATCAGGGCCTAGGCCATCCCCAGTGTGTCTAGGCTGAGAGAGTATCCCTCTATGTGGAGTGGGCTCCCAAAGTCCATTCATGTACTAGGGATAAATACTGATGCACTACCAGAGGCCCCATAGATTGCCCAGGCCTCCTAACTGACACCCACATACAGGAGGTTTGGATCAGTCCCATGCTGGTCTCTCAGTCATCAGTCTGGGGTCCATGAGTTCCCTCTTGTTCAGGTCAGCTGTTTCTGTGGATTTCTCTAGCCCAGTCTCAACCCCTTTGCTCATCACTCCTCCCTCTCTGCAACTGGATTTCGGGAGTTCAGCTCAGTGTTTAGCTGTGGGTGTCTGCCCCTGCTTCCATCGGCTGCAGGATAAAGGCTCTAGGATGGCATATAAGGCAGTCATCAATCTCATTATCAGAGAAAGGCATTTAAGGTAGCCTCTCCACTGTTGCTTAGATTGTTAGTTGGGGTCATCCTTGTAGTTCTCTGGACATTTCCCTAGTGCCAGATTTCTCTTTAAACCTATAATGGCTCCCTCTATTCTGGTACCTCTTTTCTTGCTCTCCTCTATTCTTCCCCTGACTTGATCTTCCTGCTCCCTCATGTCCTCCTCTCCCCTCCTCTTTTCCCCTTCTCTTTCTCCCAACTCCCTCTCCCCTCCCCCATGCTCCCAATTAGCTCAGGAGATCTTGTCCCTTTCCACTTCTCGGGGGGACCATGTAAGTCTCTCTTAAGATCCTCCTTGTTTCCCAGCTTCTTTGGCGGTGTGGATTGTAGGCTGCTAATCCTTTGCTCTATGTGTAAAATCCATATATGAGTGAGCATATACCGTGAAGTTTGGACTTTTTAAACGATGTACTTCAGGGATCCAAAGAAAACAATGAGCCACATTCTTTTCAAATGCTGTAGTGTGACTTAGCTACACCATTGCAATCCGGACACAGATTTAAGACATGTCAAATCCCTCTGCTCCCTGGAGGCCCTTAGTGATGACATCACTTGTTATGAAGTTGCTCAGAAGTGTCTCGAAGAATGTAATGGAAAAACCCCAGACACATCTGTAATTGGTTATGAATCTCAACCAAGGCCATGATGTTCATTATGCCCGGAAGGGTGACGGCATCTTTGTGGAATTGAGAGACTATTTTGCTATTCCCACAACCTATGTTAGGTCCTACCATGTCTACTCATGGGCTCGGGTTTTGCAGGTTAGTAACCCTGGGAACCCTTAGCCACTGCCTTTCTGGCAAGAGTAGAGGTTAAAGTACCCATGGACAAGGGGTAAGATCCCACTCCTTGTCACCCACCTCCTCCCTTCCCTCTCACAGGGAAGACATTTGTGATCGTGAACCCAACCTGTTCTAAGTAGGTACACGCAGCCAGGGCATTACTGAGATCGCCAGCACAGAGAGAAGGATTCTGCTTGGTATTGTTCCCTACACTGGGATAGCTCCCTGACCACTATGAGCGCTGAGACCCTGGGAAATTTGCATAGTGTACCTACTGGAGGAGTGCTAGAGAGACCTGGGCAGTTCGGAGAGCTTGCTGTTCTTGCAGAGGACCCGTGTTTGGTTCTCAGCACCCGTGTGATGGCTCACAACCATCTGAACCTCCAGGTCCAGGGAATCTGACCCTCTTTCTCACCTAACTGGGCTCCCGCATGCCGGAGGTACACTTCCATACACCCAGGCACACACGGGTAAAATAAAATACATCACTAAAATCTACCTTATTCCTTGTTTTATAATATTCAAAACTGGAAATAAGAGTACTTACCTTTCAAAACTTGTTATGAAATTTGAAGATATTAAGCCACTCTTATTTTAATCTTTTTACCCAGGGCAGTACAGTAATAGTTAGCTGTTAATAATATTTATAGCTGGTATCTTCTCATCTCCCTCCCTTTCCCTTCCTCCTGAGAATTTCCTACAAGCTTCCCAATGATAACTAAGTACTGAGAAATATTTAGTCTCAGAAACACACACTCACTCTAAAGAAGTTATCTACTGAACCTGGGCTCGGAATGTGTATACTAATCAGGAATTCTGAAATGCAGTTTGTAGCATCCTTACTCAAACCCAACTAGTTCTGACCCATTCCGTTTCCTGTCTTCAGAGGGTGGAAAAATTAACCTCAATTTTGCAGATTTAAAATAACTCATTCCGTGCCTAGAGGTGGTGGCGCACACCTTTAATCCCTACATTTGGGAGGCAGAGACAGGCAGATCTCTGTGAGGTTAAGGTTAGCTTGGTCTACAGAGCGAGTTCCAGGACAGCCTCCAAAGCTACAGAGAAATCTGGTCTCAAAAAACAAGTTTAAGACATAATATCTTAATTAGGTTCAGGATGTACAGACACACAATTTCAAGTCCAAAGCTCTTCCTGCCACTCCCCATGCTCTCTGCGCTGAGGTGGAGAGGAAGTCTGAATCACCCCAGGCCGAGGCAGCCTTCCTGGTGCCAGAAGCCCAAGGGTTTTCATTCTGCTACTTCACCCCTTCAGGTATGCAGCTTCTAGACGGTTTCATTTACAACGCTGGGTTTGAGAAGCCAGGACCCTTTCCATCTCCGTCTAAAAGCCCCCAAATTCATCTTGCTTTCTCTTTTATTTTGGAAGGAGAACACAAATGTTCAGATGGAGGAAATCTATTATTTTCCTGCCGAACATGAAAAGCCTCTTAGCACCCAGGTGGAAAGAGTCCATTTTTATCCCAGCTCCTGCAGGGCTTCGGGTGGGAGCCTGCACAGCAATGCTGTCCTGACTGCCGCTGTCTGGTGGTATCAATAAAAAACAGCTGTTCCCAGCCCGGTTGCCTCACATCTCTGTGGCATTCCCCTAGAGAAAGTACGCGGCTGTGCAGATGGGGTAACAGCTCCCAGCTCCCCACAAAGCACTCCCGCCTCTATTCTTTCTGCTCTGAGTTTTGTTTTATGACCTCTGTTCTTAGATTCTTCAGATCAATGGAAACTGCAAATTTGGCTTGTTCTAAATAACCTGGCCCTCGATTTCGCAGGAAATTGACTTCAGAAACTCAATTTTGAAATCTAGAAGGGGATATTTGCTATTTCATCTGTTTTATGGTTTCTTCACCCTGAAAAGGTTTTTCTTTTTCTTTCTTTTCTTTTTTTTTTTTTTTGAGAAGTAATCCTTCATAAATAAGATATTCATCATATGGCCACTAAAACACTATAACCAATAGGACACAGCAGAAGCAACACTAGTCAATAGCTTCTGAGCAAGAAAACAGTTGCTTTCACTTGGCATCCCCGCCCTGCCCGCCAGGTAAACAGCCCAATTATCTGTAGACTACCGAGTAATGGGGAGACAAGGAGCTTGCCCGCGCCTTGGCGAGAAATCGGGCGTCTACACAAAATCGCCATGAACTTTGCAAACCTCCTCATCCTCTGGCCGGATCCCCCTGAACGACCCCACGGAAGCAGCAGAATTGCCTAGCTGCCCCCTTTGTGAGTCCTTGACCCCCTTGCTAACAGATACAGTTAAACTGCTGTTTGAAGCCGCCTTTGAGGGGAATTTACTGCCCAGCAATTGACAGAGCACTCAGGCTCATGGCTGTCCCTTGCCATCTCTGTTACCAACATTCGTCTCTGCCAGTTCCCTGCGACACCCTGAGAGCACCTGCGACATTGATGGGGCCCAAGTGCTGTGCCCTACGAAGCTGGT